GACCACCCGATTAGTACGTAGGATTAGTGAGGTTGGGAGCGATAGCTTGTATCGGAAGGCTGCGGATACCAGGCCCGCCTCGGACTATATCAGAACAGAACACASTGTGYTCTATTCRTCAAACTGACACGCATTCCTCGACATYCACGGTGCACGGGACGAYTGGTCGATCGAACAGCGCGCAGGGAGTACATGAAGCGACGGACGACGTGGAYTTTTTTGCTGATTGGGACCAGGAAGACAAGCGGCAGGAGCAGGAGGAACTGGTAACGGCACTGTGRAGCGACACTCCCTCGGCGTTGCGAAACTGGCACCAYGCAGCCTCTCCCCATTTGCCCCGCCCAACCCAGCCTGTYCGACATAGCGCCCACGCCCGCGCAGAGTAGCGCGTTCCTGCTTCTCCTCCTCCTCATTGTCCTGTTGCCCAATCTCGCCATAGCCTGCRTYTTGTTCTACGCGTGCCTGTCAGAGGGGGTGTTTCTTCGGCTTACGACGAAACGCTTTGCGTTCTTGCTCGGYGGCACCRTCTGCTTCGCAACTCTTTTTCTCGCCAGCTGCTGTTGCATGTTCTTCATCATAGGTGCGGGAGGTCTGCCGGCGCTTTGAGTGTGGTAGCGGCGCTGCTGTCGTGGGTGATGGAGCACAGATCGGCGACTGAGATCTCGGCTTGYGCCTTCGTGGCCTTCAATGCCTTCCTCTCCTTCCTCTCCTTCCTGCACTTCCTCTACTCCCTCCCATGCCCTTCAACAATCAACCCCTCCACCCACCCTATCGCTCCACTTCCTTTCGCCAAAACCCGCCCCGCTCCACCCCTCTTGTCCCGATGCAACCCCCCTCGCAAACCCTCCACCTCCCCATCCCCCCCGCCTTCCAAAGACCATGGAAGTTGTCCCCCCCTCTGATGACGCCCCATGTGGCATGGGGCAGAAAAACGCTTTAGGGAGTTGCCCCGCCCTTCCCGCAATTTGGCGAGATGATCCCCGCAAGAGCAGGATGCGCTGGATCTGGAGGATAGAGCTGAAGCGGGATTTACCTTTCCCCTTTCCCCTTTCCCCCTCCCCCYCCCCCCTACCCCTTTCTCTTCCCTGCCGGGATCGCGTGTATGGGCGACAGCAGTAGATCGAGGATAGCAAGCTTGCTCGCTGAACGATTTTGATAAGGATTTGTCTTCTTGGAATCTTGCAGCTCGTTTCGCCTCTCTCCTTTGCATTGAATTGTTGGTCATGGACATCCTTCTTCTTCTTCTTCTTCTTCTTCTTCGGCGTCTTCTTCTTCTTTTTCATTTCCTTTTCATTTTCATTTTCTTTTTCGTTTTCGTTTTCTTTTTCTCCTTCTTCTTCTTTTTCTTTTTCTTCTTTTTTTTCCTTGTTTCCTTTTCCTTTTCTTCTTCTTTTGTTTCTTTTTCCTTTTTCTTTTTTCTTATTGCTTTTTCCTTTTTCCTTGTTTCTCCTTTTTCTCGTTTTCCTCCTGTTTTTGCTGTATTCGTCTTGGATGGGTTGTCTCTATGTTTGATTGCATGCGGGTGGATATGGCTCGTGAATGCATGTCAGCAATGGATGCTTGATCGAGAATCAACTCTTCCTTGAGAAGCTTAATGCTGTTTGTTGTCGTTCGAATGACCTTCTTACTTCTCGATTGCTCCCCTTCTGCTTTCATGTATGTTGATCTTTGGAATTGGTTCCTTTATGGGGACCCCTGCCGACGACGGGTTGCCCTTAAGGATCTGTTATTGGATCGACGCGACTCGAAATGATGCTTTAAGATTATGAAATGTCTTGTTGCATGCTCATTTATTTTTTTGCAATACTTGCGGTTGCCTTTTTTTTGCTGATTTTGCTTTTTTGCTTTTCTGGGCTACAAGGCACCCCCTACCCCCCTTCACCTCTAGTCACCTTTGGAACACGAAGGGTGGCCTACTTCGACCAATGAATGGCCCCAGTGTTGCCCTTGCCATATGTGGATCTTAAGATGGTTTTACCCCGCCGCGTTGGAAGATCGCCTTCCGCGTTGTGAATCATGCTCACGGTGTGCCGACGTTACCCAGTCGGAGTAGCATGAGTATGACGTGTCGTACTCATGCGAAGCGCATGTGACGTACGCATGCTACATACATAGGAGGACATGTTTTCTCGATTGCTGTTGGGGGTTGTCCCCCCCGACCGCACCGTGATGTGCCATGCGTTGCTTATATGCCCCCGCGTGGATATGGGGTGACGACGGTGGCTATGGGGTACGCCCGGGTCGGATAGGCACTGTTAAGGGACTGGCTGGATAGCATCGAAAAGAAGATGGCTGCATATTTCGTGTGTTGTGGCGACGAATGATGTGAACTTGGGGACAACTGGTGGGAATGTGCTTTGACATATCTGTGCTGTCCGCTCGCGTGTGGTCCCTCCCCCACCCCCCGACCCTTCCCTCGCATACCCCCCTCGATTATGTCTTCTTCGGATTATCCTCCTTGATCACCCGATTTCTTTCTTTCTTTTTTATCCCTTTTGCCTACCCATTCTCTCTCCTTGCCCGCCGCCCCCTGTCACGACTGCCTTAATGCACCGCAGCGTCCGCCAAAAGAATCCTTCCCGGGCGGCTGGTGGAACGAGCTAATGCACCACTTCCCATGGCTGAAGGACTGTGCATGGCCCTCAAAACCCACGCAGGCCTTGATGACGTGCGTCAACCTTGGGGTCATGGATGCGATCAAGGAAGCCTCGGACACCGGACGCTTCCCACACTTACTTCGAGATGCTGTGTTTCAGCGACATAGCCGCCTTCGCCGGTGCCTGGGAACGCGGCAGGCAGGACTTCGATGATGAACTGGGGGTTTTGGGTGAGCGTCTTGAGTTAAGGAAGCAAGATTATACTAAGGAGTGTAGGGAGCTAATCGGTAGATCCGCTAGGGTTGAGCGCATCCTCCTCAGGATATGGGGCGTGGACGATTCTCATCTTGAGGGGCGAATCCACGATGCACCGGGGGTATCGCTCCCCACTGCAGGGGGCAATCAGGTTACTAGGTGCGACGACCTTGCCATAGAGGATGACGAGAGGGAAGAGATGGGAGCGTGCTATTGCCGCCATTGCCTCCGCCGTTAAGGACTCCCCGCTCACGGATAGTCATACATACGACAATGTCTCGGTTCAGAACCGTTACACGGCGTTCGCCCCTCTTGCCTCCACATGCTGGGTGGAACACACATCCACCGGTTTTCGGCACGCTATCTGGAAGATGGAGACGTTTAACCATATGGCCCGATCTCCGTCAGGGCCCTCCAATTTCTTGGGAATGTCTCGGACACACAGGTCAAGGAGTGTAGAGCGCTAGCAATGAAGGGTAAGCTGAAATTCTCCGGCAGGGTCCCGCCGCTGGACCCTCAGGACCTCAAATTCCCGCCCATGCGTGCATTTGATCTCGATAAATGTGGAGACACAAGCTCCGGCATGTTGCAGAAGGCAATAAGGCAGCAGGATAGATTGGATCTCAGGAATGTGAGAAAGATATGGAGCGTAGGCAGGCCCTATCTTAAGTGCAAATGCAAGAGGGAGAAGAATAAGGACTGTGGAGATGCCCCTCTCTGGTTCGACCATGCCCTCTGGTACCTGCTTGCGCACCCAGACGTGCTTTTCCTGGATATGTCCTCGATCAAGATCAGGACGTCGATGTTGATACATTACCTTAGAACCTCATGGAGGGAGGGTGTGCTTGCTGCCATTAGTTTTCATTTCATCAGGGATCTTATGATGGGATACGTCAAGGAGCTTGAGGCAAATGCGACCCTTGACGCGGAGGGCCTGCTGAAGGATGATCGTCTGGGGAACTATCCGCTGCCCGCCCTACTTGCGCGAATCATGCTCCCTACACGAATCCCGGAAAAGCCCACCAGATTCCCGCTTAGTTCCCCGCGTTTCGCAGCGCAGAAGAGAAACGCTGCCGGGCACGTTCCGGGCCAGACTACTCTCAACTTTCGGCGGGCAGCCCCTATCCCCGGGGCCTCTCCACCCGAGGCAGCTCCTCCGCCTCCTCCTCGTCCTCCCCCTCCCGTCTCCTCCTCTTCCAACTCTCCCCCTCCTTCTCCACCTCCCCCTCCGCCCCCTCCACCTGTCACCTCTATGCAGGTGCAACCTACGATCCTGGTTTCTGGGCTGCAGCGGACCGGAGGCGGTGATACATGTGGCGAACCCACTCACTGCACCTTTGCAGATGGCGAGGAATCAAACCCTTTCCTCCCCACTCCCGCAGATGGTGATCACCGGGCTAACCCCGCCGCCCGTCATCCTTCTCTCACCCGAGGGTTCGATGTAGTCAACCATCACGCAGACCGGGAAGGGCCGCAAAAAATGTGCAAAGGGCAGGGGTAATGCTAGAGCCGGTGCCGCCACCAGCGCGCGACCTGCACGTGCTTGACCCCCTATGGAGCGGAGTCGTGACCCCTTATTCTTTTTTATCTTTTTAATCGTTTTTATTTTCCCTTTCTCCCCCTCTCGATATCTATCTCTCCCTCTCTCGGGATTCATTACCCCATCCGGCACAACCCATGTCTTGTATGTGTGTCCTCTGACCGCAGGGTCCAGGCGCCGGCATCTATGCCCCGGGATAGATGGCCACGTTACCATCCGGCCGAAGAGTGTGGAGGAGACAAAGATCGGACTGTGACACCTTCCTTCATCTGAGATACACTTGCAGGATCATGGAACCTCTATCCATAAGGAAGATGATCAATGAAGTCCTGGCAAGAATCGTAGGCTATGACACGGCTACCTGGCTGGAACGCACCGTGATCGGATGGACCTACAACTCCAACATCGCGTCCAGGCTCTGCAGGCCGGCGGAGGTATTCTGCGACTTCGATGTGGCACAATGGATGGAAGCGTATGATCCGGGGCAATGTCCATGCAGATCGCGAAGGACATGCGCAGCCAAGCCTCGATCGAGCTTCTCCGGTGCGAGGGACAGACGCACGTGATCACGATGGACTCGTCGATCACGGATAACTCTGCTCCAGGGCATCATCAATGTCGGGTTAAATCACATCCCGTGCATGTCCCTAGATGTAGAGGAGGCGCTGAATGAGTTGGGTATCTTCCTCGACAAGCTCATGGCGGAAGTACTGGAGTTGAGGGAACTTTCGACATCCACCCAGTCCTTTCTGCGGAGGGTGATCTTGAAAAAAGCAAAGACGAAGATGATTAAGTACAAGGAGCAGCACAAAAACGTCTCGACCGAACCGTTCGAACACCTGGCGGTCAAGCGGGAGGTTGAGTTCCTTACGGGACGGTTTCTTATCTGTCCGACGGATAAGGCAGCGAGCACTCCTACCTATGTTTGCAAGAACTTCATTCGGAAGCTTGCTTTTCAGAGGCTACCTGGACCTGAATTCGTGAGTGTTGCCTCTTCCCCTGCTTCTGTCATCACGAGAATGCAAGGTGAGCTATCTGCCCTACATGTGCTATCGGAATCTCGTGCTGCGCTCCCGTACTTAATGACGGTCTTCAAAGCGCACAAGCGGACGTTTCGCTGGATTACTAACACTGCTGGGACCGTGGTTTCCCCTGCGGCGGAGCTGTGCGAGTGCCTGTTGCGGTTTTTCTTGCCCCTGGTGCAAACTTTATGTCTGGAGAGGAGCATGGAGGTGGAAGCGCGGCATGGTGTCAAGCCAAACATGTGGTGGTCCACTACCTCGGTGGGTGAGTTCTGTGCAAACTTACCAGAGAGAGTTTACTCTGTATTCACGACAGATATCACGAGGTGCTTTGAGGCTATCCCCACGGATAGCTCGGAGGACGGCTTGTTGCCGCGGTGAGGTTCTACGTACAATGTGCAATGTAGGAGCAAAGGGAGAGGAGTTCGTTCCACGCCACTCAGATCCGCAGGGGAGCGAATGGCAGGTTTCTGCTCTCATGGGTGGACGCGGCCTAGGCGGAGGGATTCGGCTCCATGATATTCAGGGAGCAGGACATTTTTTGGCTTTCAGAATGATGCATCTCCAATAGTCTGTTGCGCATGGGCAACTTCGTGTGGCGACAGGTCAAGGGTATACCCATGGGACTTGCCTGCTCCCCCATCTGGTGCGACGTCTACCTCTTTAAGTATGAATTCCACGTCATGATGAGGTTGGCAGATACGGGTAATGCGCACTTGATCCTGTTCTTCTCGGACACATTCCGATACATCGACGATCTGGGTGCGATCAATAATGCGATTATCAATAGCTTTATGAGACGGAAGGAGGACAGGGAGGAGAATGATCCATGTTGGATCTATCCGAACGAGTACATCGAAATTAAGGAGAATACGGAAGTCACCGACGATGGGTGCGAGCGAAAAGCCAACTTTCTCAGCGCAACCATCACGATTACCTCTCCAGAGGCGGGGACGTACATCACCTCCAGGCTTGACAGACGCGTGGGGTTGGGTTTTGTGCCCTGCAGGTTCATGCAGTACAAGTCCAATAGGAGCGCCAAGCAAGCGCTACAGATTATCACCGCCCAAGTCGCGCAAGTTTTTCTTCTGTGCTCGGAATTGGATGACGCGACTGAGCAGATCAACAAAGTGGTTGCTGTGATGGGGGGCAACGAGTTCGCCGAGGACGCTTGCTGGGAGGTGGTGAGGAGGGCGCTGCGCAACGCCTACCGCTATCAACCTGGCCTGTGCACATGGTAAGGGAGGCGCTGACACGCTTGTTCGGTTTCTCTGACTAACATTGTTTGGTGGGTGCGTGTCTGTGTCTGTGTCTGTGATTGTGCTTGTGTGTGTGACGGATGTCCGGGGGACGATTGGGCCGAGATGGCCGGTTGCTCTCCGGACAACCGCCCACTCGACCCCGTCATCCCCCGCAGGGATCGGGGTGGGGCACACACACATACACACACACACACACACACACACACACACACACACACACACACACACACACACACACATCCAGATCTAAGGAAAGGCGGAAGGGAGAATGGGCATGCCTATTTCATAACCATCTGGATGAGGGGTTGGATCCCTACCCCCGCGGTTCTTCACTTCTCGCCCCCCGTGTTCTCATACCCTCCTCCCTCCCTCCGTTCCCCCGTTTTTTTTTTTT